TTGATCATTCTGATTGGGTTTATGAATTTTTTGGTAATAATTGCTATGATGGGGAAATCAACGATGGTTTTTTTAATGTGTTGTTGGATGATCATGATTTGAATGTGGTGAAAATTGATAATGCTGGCTTTTCTTCGGTGTGTGGAAAGAAAAATAAGAAAAACAAAAACAAAAATCTAGAGCAAAATTTTAAATATTATGTTGGTTGCTCTACTAGATCTAAGTCCTTTGATTAGATTTTTGGCGCTGCTTATTGTGTTATTCGTTTTTCTTTTGGTTTTTGTGTGTTGGTTTTGCTATTGGGCTTCTTCTATTGTTCCTTTTGTCCTGGTGGTGGGGTTTGCATGCCCTCTTGGGTGGGTTTGTTTAGGTGTTGTTGGTCATGGGGTCTTCGTCGAAGTGTTGGGCTTCTGGTACTGTACTCTGGTGGTGGGGTGTTTGTGCTTTAGTGTGGTTTTCCAGTGGTTTTTTCTTGGGTTGGTTGTATGGGCCCTGTTTGTTTGTTGGTTTGGTTTGCTAAGGCGGGTTGTTATTGTGGGTGCTTGGCTTTTCTCCAAGTTTTTGATATTTATGTTCACTAGACTTATTATTTTTCTAGTTGTTTGAATGGTATATGCTGGCAAGAGGTTCTGTGTGGGCTTATGAGGTGCAGATCTATCTATTCTCCTTTCAGCTTTGTCTAGGACTGCATTGAAGATCTAGCATGGGCTCTTTTTGAGGGTTGGCTCTTGCCTTTTCTTTTTTTTTCCTTATAATATATAGGATCATTGGCTCACTAGGTTTTTAATTTTGAATGATTGTAATGTTTTGGTTGTAGATAGCATTTGATCCTTTAAGAAAATGTAATCTCTTTTTAGTATTAACGTGTAGGCTCCTTCGTGAGTTTTAACCAAAAAAAGTTCTTTATCTCCTTATGTGATTAAGCTTTTGCATAAAGACTTTATTTTTATTTTTATATTATTCATATCTAGTTTAAAATGACTTTCCAAAGAGAGTTTACAGAGATACATGCAATTTGTCGAGCTTTGAGTACAAATCTCTATTTGTTCTTGTGTTCTGCTATCGTTCGATTTCTCTTTTGGTTATCTTAGTTTAATTCAGTTAGCTTGCAATTATTGTGAGTTAGGTTCTTATGGTTTGCATAATATAACTTATTTTTTTGAAGTGTACATCAGAAAATATAATATAATAGCTTATGTGATAATGATGATCTTGGAAGCTTCATGTGGAGAAAACAAACATTAGTTTGTAGTAAAAGACATATAAGATGTAAGAAAAAGAGTGAAAGTGCGATGAAATCAATATAAATAAAAGATAAGATGAAAGAGCAAGGACTTATCAATGAATGTAAACAAGCGATAATATTAGATGAAAGAGCACAACTTAACAAAAAAAAAAACATACTACTTTGGCTCACTGTTCTAACCCTCTAAAGTACTAATCATCCCTTATCCTCATATTTTATTCACAAGAAAATTTATTGGGCATGATCTGATTTGCTCACTTTTCTTCTAAAATGTGTTCATACAATGTACATATTGATTGGGCTTCTTTGGCAGTTGATGAAAGTTTTGATGTTAAAAGGAAGTTAAATAAATTGATGTTATTTATGATCTGAGAATGATCTATATTAGACTAAGAAGTCAACTTCTACAGAGGGCGATGATGAAACTTTAAAGTTCTTGTTAGGATGACCAGTTTTTTAAAAAGGGGATACTATTTAAGTGGGGGAGACTATGAAACCCCTTACGTAAAAAAAAAAATCTAAAATCTTAAACATCGAGGCACTTTTTTGTATGATGGTTGGAATTTTATTAAAACTCCAATGTTAAGTGTGCTCGTATAAGAGCACTCTTAGGAAGGGTGACCTTCTAGGAAGTTACACTTAGGGGTGTCAATTTCGGGTCACGGGTCAGGTTCGGGTCGAACCTGAACTGACCCGGGTGGAAAACGGGTCGACCCTAACCCGACCCGGGTAGAAAAACGGGTCGAAAATTCGAACCCGGACCCGACCCGGTCAACCCGGACCCGACCCGTTTTTTAAACGGGTCAATTTCTGGAACCCGAACCCGACCCGTTTTGAAATCGGGTAGGGTCCAACCCGGATTTTCCGGGTCGGGTTTTCGTGTCGTGTCAATATTGACACCCCTAGTTACACTAATGGGATAATATCGTAAGGCCATTACACCAAAGCAGATAATATCTTGATAGTTAAGAATTTGAACTATTATAGATGGTATCATAGCAATACACTAGTTCGAAGATGGGAGCTCTATCTTTAGTTAGAATCATATTTGCCTAGTTGATGATTCTAGACTAAGAAAATTGGGGAGGTTGTCAATTATCTAAATGGGAGAAAATGTGAAACCCCTTAAAATAATGAAACTAAACACTTAAATATCAGAGAGACTTTTTGTGTAACGATTAAAATTTTATTAGAAAATTCAAAGTTAAACATGCTCATATAGGAGCACTCTTTGAATGGGTGACCTTCTGAGAAATTGTACCAACGGAATAAAATTATGAGGCCATTAGGCCAAAGCAACACCAAAAGGTGCCTTAATATTTAAGAGTTTAGTTTCATTTTACTTACGGGGATATCACATAAGTGTTTTTCTTTTTAAAACTTTAATAAGGGCAGGTAAATATGGTGCTTTTCTGGAGAGAAACTCCCATATATATTTTGCAACTGTGGATGAGAGAGTTGTATAAGTCAATCTCTGAAGAGTATCAAAAGTATTAATTTGATCGTAGTGTTCTTCGTTTGTTTGAAAAAATTCTTAAAATGATTGCCTCTACACAAAGCAAGAGGTGTTTTTGATAAAATTATTGTTGAAATATCAAAGAAAATGCTTCAGAAGTTCAGAGGGCTCATCAAATTATTGAGGATTTTCTTTCTGGGCATAATGATGGAGCGCCTAGCAGCTATAAAGTATTGATATAGGTTTGAGGCCATCTTAGGCTTCATTTGGGATGGCATTCTTGTAGTTCGAACCTTGCCAGAATGGGGTGTTGAAGGATGTCTTCAATTAGGGGTGATGACTCCTGAAAGTCTCGTTGATGAAGAGATTGTCTTATATCTCCAATAGGGAACTCCTCTCGGATTAGTCTTCGTAATTCATGTCATAGGGTATTACGGGAGAGATCGGCGATGTGCTATTGGGCTAAGTCCTCATGGACGTCTGGAGGAATGTGATGCTAGCGACCGGTGTGCGAAGGATGGGTGAAGCTTTCCATGTCAGTAAATTCATTATTTGGATGTATTGGATGGTGCATCCTTGGCGGTGGAAGGGGAACCTCAACATGAAGAACATCTTGGAATCCTCGTGGATCTCGAGGGAGAAGAATATCTTCTTAGGGTGCTAGTGCCGGTCCTCGAGTCTCTCGCAAGAGTTGAAGGATCTCATTCTGAGACTTCTTCATCTTTCTGATACGATCTTTCAGGGATGGTCCTGAAGTCCCTTCTTCGGTAGGGTTTCGGCCACCGGGGTAAAAAGAGGCAGATATCTCGCGTCCCTAATTCAAGGACTGATTCTGGTATTGATGTGAATTGGAACAGGAGGCTCCCAAGATACAATTACTGCACCTGTTGTTCATTGTAGTGGTGCTTTTAGGATAGTGGGACTGGTAATCCCATAGACGACGCCAAATTGCTGCGGGCTAGAATATACGCGGCAGTAGAGTTAGAATACTATGTCTTAGCGTTGCACGAATATCCAGCTCACACACATAGAACACAATATTTTTTACGTGGAAAGCCCTAAAAAAAGAGAAAAATCATGGGGCCAGGCCAAGTTGGAAATGATTATACTAGATCTTGAGTTGGTTACAATGGGCTGACTCCCCTCCAATGGCGAGCATATTACAAGTAATAAATGTACGCAGAAGTCCGAGTGTCAGGTGATGGTCCGGCAGAACAACTACTAGATCTTAAGTTGGTTACAATGGGCTGACTCGCCTCCAAGGGCGAGCATATTACAAGTAATAAATGTACGACAGAAGTTTGGGTGTCATGTGATGGTCCTGCAGAACTTCGAGCTTCAGGTGATGTTCTGGAAGAACTCCGGGCCTCAGGTGGTGATGCAGCAAAGGCGAGGGCCTTAGGTGGTGGTCCAACGAAGCTCCGACGGTGGTCCGGCGAAACTCCATTGGTGGTCGAAGAGGGGCTTTTTCCTTCTCTTCTCTTCTTCTCTTCTTGCTTGGATCCCTTTTTAAGAAAAATGAGGGGTCTTTATAGATTTCTGGAGTGGCATGACCCATAAATAGGTGAGAGATCAAGGGTAAATGGGGAGTGATTGGATGGACGGTCGATGTTGAATTCTTTGGTCATGGACCGTTTGATGTTCATTTGAATGTCTTAGTGATGTCAGATTTTGGTGATCTTGGGCTCTTTGGATTCGTCTCGTCGATCCGCTCGATTCAAGTATAAGAACATTATGTTTGTAAACCGTTTGTCAATCTAAATTGTGGTTCGAACCTTTCAACAGTGCTTCTAACCCTTGATTTAGACCTGTTTGGGCTCCGATTGAGTTGATTTTGGTATCGTTGGGTTCGTATTTCTGAGATGCTCAGTTTGATTGTAAGTTTGCTGAAATCGAAGTTCGGATGATCCCAATTTTAATTTTGGAAGTTTCCAATCTTGATTTTGCATCGAGATTCGTGCCGGATCAAGATAATTTTTTGACGATTTGTCATCTTTAATCATGTTAGTTATATAATTACGAGTCAACTCACGAGCTATGTCTTATCAAATTTGAATTCAAGCTCATTTAATATATGAATTTGAGTTTCAACTCGAGCTCAATAAACTCAGCACAAAAATTTTTTATGGAGTTGAGCTTGAGCAGTCTAGACTCACTTCCACGCTTAGCCCTACTAATTAATCAAACTTGTGAGACAAGATAATGACAATAAACTTTTTGAAGTTGCAATCTACAACGTGCGGCTCATATACATTCTTCTGCACTTGAAGCCCCACGCGCGCTCACGGCCTCTCGCCACTGATATATGCGATAAGGATCAACATAACACAAAATTCGACCAAAACCTTCCCTCTCCATCCTCCGCAAGCTCACTAGCTATGGCTTCTGCGGCATCTCCGGCCTCTTTTTCACTCCTACCCTCAACCTCTTCCTCCTCATCCAGTCGCCGTCTCTCTGCACCGGCCGCTGCTGCCGTAGTGCTGAGATCTCCGGTGCGGCGTCTAGGCTTCGCCGGTGCAGCGGCAGACTCACTTCTAACGGCCCACGTGGCCTCTAAAATCAGGGAGGTGGCGGGACGGAGCGGGCGGGGGCCAAGGGGGGTTGCCACGATGGCGAAGAGGAGCGTCGGGGAGCTCACCGCGGAGGATCTTAAGGGGAAGAAGGTCTTCGTTCGCGCGGATCTCAATGTTCCTCTTGATGAGAATCAGAACATTACAGATGATACGAGGATCAGGGCAGCGGTGCCAACTATCAAGCATCTATTGAGCAATGGTGCCAAGGTCATTCTATCGAGTCACTTGGTTAGATTCTCTCCCCATTGATGTTCCTGTTTTTTTTCTTGATGTCTTAATGTTATTGGATTCTTCTAGGTTATGTGTTGAGATGCCCTAATTTGGAAAAGATGATTTGGGACCTTGTTGATTGCTGCATTTCATTTGGTAATATGAGGACGATGTGGTCAAACTTTATTTTTAGCAATTATAATTATAGAACAAAAATATCAAATCAAACCATCCCAAATGGTTGAAAATCACTTAAAACCAAAGTGAACCAAATTGAATCTATCCGAAATTGAAAAATAAATTCCTTAAGATGCATGTTCTTAAACCAAAAATATTTGTTTGATTTGATTTGGTTTGCCTTTGTCACACCGAGATCTGGAAGGGGGTACACCCCCACAATAAGAGACCCAATGAAGAGATATGAAGACCTATTTTGTATTCATAAAGTGAAGCATGAATATATAAATGGTCTAACAGAATATGTATACACCAGAGTAAACCGAGGAAGGGAAATTAAGAGATCATTTCATTAATAAAAACAATGCAAATTACTAGTACATCAAGTATCAATAGTTTTGAATTTCTGATACAAGCCAAAAGGAATATAAGTAGAACAAATAACAAGAAAGAAATTACACAACCCCCAAAATCAAACACACAATAAATTTACTACAAAATATAAAATACCAAAAACAGTATACTGCTGATAACCCTGCTCTTATGGGGACAGTATGCTAAAAACACTTGAAGGGCATGCTATAAGAAGTGATAACGGGTGAGCTTGATAAATTAAACTCAGTAAGTAACTCCTATCTATCAAAACATAAATGTCAAATGAGTGGGGCATGCAATGTAAACAACCAAGAAGTGGGAATAACAACCTATCATCATTATATCAAAGTAACAATGACATGCCATGTCTCCTACAACAAATTTTAATATGCTGGTGAATATGCCAAATAACTACTAATTTCAAATCATCTCAATGCTTACAAAGGTATACTTGTACCTCAAATGACTTATCAGTCATTATCATTTTCAATGCATGTCCAATTACATTTAACATTCATATGCATATACTATAATTTGTTTATGAAAACCCATCATCGGGAAGTTAAATACCAACCCGAGGAAATCCAGTATTTCATGTAGAGTGTTCACTTTGAGGGCCCGTCAGACTCGACAAGCCAATAACCAATAGGGTTCTAACGACATACACATCAATGCAGCAAAGCATATGATTTTCCAAAATTTTTAGAAGTATCATTTAATGATTTTTTATAGTTTCAATATGGTGAATATTCTTTCATAATAAAATATGAATTGTCAATAATAATATTCATTGCATTCAATTAGAGCATGTGTATAAAAATGTAATATATATATATTGTAATTGTTGTGTCATGGAATATCACGACGATAGAGAAATATAAAGCTTAACGTCTTAGCTTTGCACAAAGATCCAGCACACATACAGATAAGAGAGAGGGTGCAATATTAATAAGAGACAAAGATTTTTACTTGGAAAACCCTGAAAAGGAGAAAGTCTATAGGGTCTGGCCCAGTTTGAATGAATCCACTATTATTTGCAGTCGAGTACAAATGAGGCATTTCCTTGGGGGAAGGCCTTAGCTTGATGTAACAAATATACATCATATAGAGTGTGTTACATGATGAGACTTGAAAAAATTAGTATTGATACATCTGTTTGGTCGGTAGAACCATAGTCGGCAGGCGACGGAGGTCGAAAAAACCGTAGTCTGGTGACGGTGGTCAGAGGTACTGTAGTCGGTGGGCGATAGTGGTTAGAAAAGACTGTTGTATGGCGACAAAATTCAGAAGGACCACAATCTTGTTATGGAGGTCAGAAGAACCGTAGTCGGCAGGCGGCGAAGGTCGGAAAGATCGTTATCTGGCAATAGATGTCGGAAGGACCGTAGTTAGTATGAGACAATAGTCATAAAAACTATTGTCTGGTGAAGGAGATCAGAAGGACCGTAGTAGGTTGGCGACGGAGGTCGGAAGTTCGGCGTTGAGTAGAAGTCCTACGAATGTCTAGCGACAGGCAGAAGTCCGACGACGGGCGGAAGTCCAGCGTCAGGTAGAAATCCGGCGACGGGTGGAAGTCTGATGTCAAGTAGAAGTCCACTGAAAGTCCAGTGACTGGAAGAAGTCCAGCGACAGGTGGAACTTCGGTGTCGGGTAGAAGTCCAACGAAAGTCGGCGGACAGGCGGAAGTTCGCCGTCGGGTAGAAATCCGGTGATGGGCGGAAGTTTGGCGTCGAGTAGAAGTCTATGATGCACCGACACGGCACTTAGAGAGGGTATGCAGTGTCGGACACGGACACGCGTCGGACACGGCATGGACACGTGTCCGACACGGCATTGGAGTGTCGCAATTAAAAAAAAAATTAAAATTAAAATCGGACACGCGTGTCCGGTTATTAAATGAGGTATACGCTAAGACATGCTCGTACCGCTCAGTACATGCTCGGTTGCTCAGTAACTATGGCGTTCGGTATTGCTCATTACATTGCTCGGTACCGCTCAGTACATGCTTCGGTACCGCATTCAATAACATGCTCGATATTGCTCAGTACATGCTCGTCCGCTACATACATGGCGTTGCTACTGGCTAGTACATGCTCGGTACCGCTCAGTACCGCTAGGTAATTGCTCGGTATTGCTACGTATATGCTCGGTACTGCTAGGTACATACTCGGTACCACTCGGTATCTTCCCATACAAACAATTTACTCAGTATATCTTGGTACTGCCCTTGACCCCGCAACCTGACCGGGCAGGTCGAACCCTGCCAGGGGGCAGCGCCCCCTTGGGCACCCGCAGACTGTATATTGTTGTATTCATGTTGTCTTATTATTGGGATATGTTGCTATGCTACTGGCAGGGGTGGATTAGGTGAAGGTTCAAAAGAGACATCTGTCCACGCCGTGTCCGTGTCCTATATTTTTAAAAATTATTATATTAAAAAAATATTATGCCGTGTCCACGCCGTACCCGTGTCCTATATTTTTAAAAATTGTCGTGTCCCGTGTCCCGTGTCCGTGTCGTGTCGTGTCCGTGTCGCCGTGTCCGTGTCGGTGCATCATAGGTAGAAGTCCGACGAAGGTTTGACGTCAGGTAGAAATTCGACAACGAGCAGAGGCCTAGCATGGGGTAAAAGTCCGACAGCGGGCGGAACTCCAGCATCGATCAGCTGTCGGGCAGAACTCTGGCGTCAGTTGGCCTTCGGGCAGAACTCTGGCGTCAGTTGGCGTTTGGGCAGAACTCCGACGTCAGTAGGCTGCCGAGTGGAATTCCGACAGTGGTCGAGAAAGAGTATGGTGACAAGAGAGCTCTCTCTTATTTCTCTTTTTTTTTTCCTTCTCTTCTTGCTTGGGCCTCCTCCCCCTTCAAGGGTCCCTTTCTATGAGAAATGAGGGGTTTATTTATAGTTTGTTGAGAGTAGCATGACCAGTAAATAGGAGGAAGATCAGGGGTAAATTGGTAGTGGTTTTAATGGACGGCTAATGTTGATTCCCTTGATCATAGATCGTTTACTAGATATTTGAATGTCTTAATGATATAAGAATTTGGCGATCTTGGGCTCGTTGGATTCGTCTCATCGAGCCGCTCGATTCGACTATAAGCATGTCACATTTGGAGACCGTTTGGTAATCCAAATTATGGTTTGAACCTTCCAAATGTACTTTGGGTCTTTGATCTGGACTCATTTTGGCTCGGATTGAGTCAAATTTAGTGTCGTTGGGTTCGTATTTCTGAGACGTTTAGTTCAACTATAAGTTTGCTGAAATCGGAGTTCTAATAATCCCGGATTTAATTTTTGAAGTTTTCCAACTTGATTTTTCTTCAAGATTCGTGCCCGATCAACATAATTTTTTGATGATATATCAGTAATAATAGGACTGATAAATTAGAAATAGCACAGATTTATGCCCTTTAATAAGGAAGGGTATGCTTACATCAAAATAAATAGCAGTTACTTCTAGGCGAGCGCACAAAATTCTAAGTCTATTAGATTTTTAACCCATCAAAGCTAGGAGGACAACGACTCGAAGATCCTAAGAACAAAATTCCTAATTTAATATTCATGATAATACTAAAGGAATCAAATGCATAAAATATAACGCTTATATAACTTGATCGTAAATATATACATTTAACATAAAAAATCAAGTCAATAAGATAACATAGAGTTAGACCTATGGAACATGAAACTTAAATAAGGCTTCTTTCTAAAGCTAGATAAAACTCTCCCAATGAGAAATTTAAAGCAATTCAAAACTTGATGCAAATCAAAATTTAGCCTTCCCATAGAATTGAAAGAATTAAAAACATAAGAAGAAGAAAGAGGAAAACTCACTGTAGAAGGAGAGGAGATTGAGAAGAGTTCGTCAAGAGCTGTTATTGTGAGAAAGAAATAAAAGAGTAGAAAAGAAAGTTAGACAACTGCTGTCGTAGAGAAAAAAAAATGAAGATTCATTGTCCTAGGTTTCCTATTAGGTTTAAATTACATGAGAGGGATGTTATAGACGGTAGTATTCAATCAATTAGGGAAAGAATCAAGTGGTTAGAGAGAGGATCGCTACCTACTTTATTCGGTCGCATGCGGAAGCAAGAGTTGGTTGGGTTTCGCAAGTTGCGGCTTTGTGTGGAACACCTGGACTGGCTTTTGATCGTGGTTCGTGAAAGGGAACGGGAGAGGGCAGTCGGTTTACGTGAAATCCTAGACCGAACGATCCAGGCTATAATATCTTTAACTGTAGTTTTGGTTTTAGTTTCATGTTTTGTTAATTGGTTCAGTTTTAAATTTGGTTTGATAGCATACAAAGTGGTGGCAAACCCTGATTCATTTAGAGACGGAGACCTAGCAATGAAACGAAGAATTAGAGTATGCTGATCTAGGCTTCTTGTTAAGGTGTGGAGTTTAGCTTTCATGAATAAATATTCTCTAATTTTTGGATATTTTTTGGTCAAATATCTACTGCTAAAATTCAATGAGTTGTTAGGAATTACCTTCATGGATAATTATTCCTACATGCTTGCATACCCTGATGGAAAAAGCATCCAGAATCAAGGAAGTTGAAAATTACACCTCCATGATTCTCTAAGTCTAAAGGAACAGTTACTTGGAATGCTGGTTTGAGTTTTCATGCATAATTAAATCTACTTGATGTAATTGGGTGAGGTTTTCTTTCAGAAGAACGTGAAAACCACGAGGAGAACTAAAGGAGATATGAACAACATACAAAAGGATGTATGTCTGCAGAGAATAAGTAATTTTGGGCTCACTTCTATTTTGCGTTAGGATCCGAAAATAAGTTTTCCAGCAATCTATACCTTTTTAAAACGAATTATATAGCTCTTGTTCTAGTTGTTTGTTTCAGACAATTTAGATCATGCCATATATTTTTTTTTTTTTTTTTTTGCTTGAATGAATGCAATCAGCACTTACAGATCGATCTCTTATGTCAGAAATTTCTGTAAACTTTCGAAGGAATTGAGCTATTGACTATAATATTTCATTTTTCATTTATATATGGACTTCAGGGCAGGCCTAAGGGCGTTACACCTAAATACAGTTTGTCTCCTCTTGTTCCCAGGCTATCTGAACTCCTCGGGATAAAGGTATGATATTTTCCTATTCATATATTGACGTTGGTTGTGATCCGGCTAATTATAATCACAATCTTTAGTTCTTTTGTTGCCATTATTGATCAGGTTCAGAAGGCTGATGATTGCATTGGCCCTGAGGTTGAAAAACTGGTTGCTTCCCTTCCAGATGGCAGTGTGCTACTGCTTGAAAACGTGCGTTTTCATAAGGAAGAAGAGAAGAATGAGCCCGAATTTGCAAAGAAGCTTGCATCTTTGGCTGATCTCTTTGTGAATGACGCTTTTGGAACGGCACACAGAGCACATGCATCAACTGAAGGAGTTACTAAGTTCTTGAAACCCTCTGTTGCTGGCTTTCTCTTACAAAAGGTGAGCTTTTCTACTAGATTTATTATTGGTTTTAAAAGAAACATTAACTAAAATGGATGTTTGACAATTTAGCAATTTACTATCACTTAAAATGGGTTTTGTTTCCTATTCTCGCATATTTTTATACTTCTTATATCATTCAATTAGTCATCTGGATTGTAAAGCTTTTTATTTACTAAAATATTTTCTTTTTTTCACTTTTTTAATTCAAATTTTATAATAAAGCATTCTAGTTGCATTAAGTTTTTAGGCATTTTATATCTTTTCCAAAAGAAGTTATCCATTGTTTCAGGAACTTGACTACCTGGATGGAGCCGTTTCAAACCCGAAGAGGCCTTTTGCTGCTATTGTGGGTGGTTCAAAGGTCTCATCTAAAATCGGTGTTATCGAATCACTTTTGGAGAAAGTCGACATCCTTCTTCTTGGTGGAGGCATGATATTCACCTTTTACAAGGCACAGGGACTTTCTGTAGGTTCTTCCCTGGTAGAGAATGACAAGCTAGATCTTGCAACATCACTTCTTCAGAAAGCCAAATCAAAAGGAGTTTCGCTTTTATTGCCTACTGATGTGGTGATTGCTGATAAGTTCGCAGCTGACGCAGATAGCAAGGTATGCTTTTCTTTCCATTCTTTCTTAACTGCAGAATAAAATGTTTGTCATTGACTAGAAATTTTGGAATTCTCAGATAATATGGTTGAATTTCTATCTCAGATTGTGCCATCATCAGCCATTCCTGACGGTTGGATGGGCTTGGACATTGGCCCAGATTCAATTAAAACATTCAGCGATGCTTTAGATGCCACAAAAACTGTTATCTGGAATGGTCCTATGGGAGTATTTGAATTTGATAAGTTTGCAGTTGGAACTGAGGTATACAATCATCTCATTCAATATTACCAGGGGTGTCAATTTCGGATCATGGGTCGGGTTCGGAAACTGAACCGGCACTATTCGGGTCAACCCGAACCCGACCCGTTTTTTGCAAACGGGTCAGTTTTCCGGACCCGAACCTCTTCGGGTTCGGGTCAACCTGACACGGCCCGAATGACCCGGTGCCAACAAAAAACTGCTAGTTTTCGGGTTCAAAAATGGGTCAATCTCCGCTTTTTGGGTCAAAACGGGTCAGACTCGGGTTGCCGAGTCAAAAACGGATTTTCGAGTCAAAGGGTCAACCCGAACCCAACCCGATTTTTGAAACAGGTCAAATTATTGAACCCTAACCCATAATTTTCGGGTTAGGTTCAAGTCGAGTTTTCGGGTCGTGTCAAATATTGACACCCCTAATACTACTAATGCACTGGGAAGTAGACAAAACCCATACAACTACAAAGAACAAAATAAACAAAAAATTAGAAACATATAAAAGAAGATTATTAGAGAAGACAGGAGAATTTTATGTATATTTCATCTGATTGCTGATTATGTCATGTTATCGTTATAGATTTCACTATTAATTGAGGAGAATTTAAATTTTGTCAGCCCAAATATAATAAAATTTTCGATATGCCCTTTATGAAATAAATGTAAATATTATATTAATTTCAGGGAAGGAGCCTGTAAACTCTGGGGAAATATTAAATATGGCCTCTCTTCAATTGCAGGCAATTGCGAAGAAGCTTGCGGAGCTTAGTGGTAAAGGTGTAACCACCATCATCGGAGGTGGTGATTCTGTAGCTGCTGTTGAGAAAGTAGGAGTTGCTGATAAGATGAGCCATATCTCTACCGGCGGTGGGGCGAGCTTGGAGTTGCTAGAGGGCAAGGAGCTTCCCGGAGTTGTCGCTCTTGATGAAGCTGTTCCAGTTGCTGCTTGAGCCAGGTTCTGCTTCTCTCGTCAAAATTACTTATTATATTTTTTTAAAGATTCCTAGTATTTAAGAGCCTCTTGTAGCTAATCTTCTGAGGTTTACGAGAATGAGGATTATTTTTCTGTCCATCTATATAGCCTGCTGTGAATTTGGGAAGAACAAAATCCTGAGTGAACTTGTACGTTATGTAGACTTTGCTACTTCACCTTTATTTGTAACTGGTTTTGTTATTATGAAAGTCCATTTGGAAATAAAAGCAAGATTAGATTTTGGGGGAGAAGCATACAGCAATGAACCTCAGTTGGCTTTATCATTCAAGCCTTTTTAACCTTCTGAAGTTTATTTGATTTTCTATGTCTGATTTTTCAAAAATTTTGATTATTGAATCTCTAAAGCAAGTATTATCATGATATGCCAGAAGATTTGATTAATCCTATATAGAATAGGCATTTAGTTTGAAATGAATTTGACTGCTTGTGAAAGTATTTCCCTTCCTAATGCCAAGCATATATTATAATTTGTATTGCAGGATTTCTCTTCACATTCTCCGAGTTTTTTTTTTTGGTCCTGTGTAAGTTAGTGAAGCTGACTCATGGACCGGCTCGGGCTCAAATCAAAAAATAACTAGAGCTAATGAATCAAATTTGAGCCAGCACTGAATTCACTAGTTAGCTTGCAAGCCGGCATATTTTAAAAATATTAATATAGAATGAGCTTAAAATATATTATCATTCAGGATTTTAGGTACAAAGTTATTTAAAATTTATATCTTATTTTTTTATGTTAAGTAATTCTTTATTTTTTTTAAATAACTAATGTTTTTTTATCATTTTATTATAATAATTATTTTAATCATATTTATTTTCTCTCTTTCATAATAACGAGCTAATTCATGAACTGGATAGAAGTCGTAAAATAAAGTTGGAGCTTGAGCTCAAAACTGATTAATAAATTAAATTAAATTCAGAGGTGACTCAAACTCAACTCGACTCGACTCATTTAAATTCTTATGCACACATTAGAATAAGAAGTCATGATTCCACTTTCGATGGTTGGGGTCAACAGTAGTTGTAAAATTAAAATTATTATGGTTGAAATATGAGTATCATAAATTTTTTTATTAAAAAGGTTGGACATCTTTCTTCTTATTAGTAAGCATTATTTATTATAGAAAATTTAAAAATAATAAATTGTCATAGGATAAAATTATGATTATTTTCTTTAATATTATAAAAAAAGTTTCATTCACGAATCAATTACGAGTACAGCACATAAAATATATAAATTTTTTAAGTGAAATTTTTGGGAAGACATAATCATTTGGCTTGTCCAGTTAAAATAATTTTATTAGTGTGAGTAAAATGTTATAAGGAATATCTTCCTCATAATTCAAGATGTCATTAGTATAATGTAATAGGATTAGGCCATGCGAGACGTATCATGTGGTGGTAGTAAGAGGAATCTTGGAATGCCAAAGTGTCATGAGTGATTAATATTCAATGATAGTTGATAATGAATGTTAGAAGTCAAGCAATGAAGGGCAAACGATTTAGGTTTCATTTGAGACGGCTATCTTACTGCTTCCTAAAGTAGCTTTTAATTACAAAATTTTTAACTTTGGTTCTAAAAAGCTGCTTTAAGAAGCAGTAATAAAGTCGTCCAAAATGAAGCCTTAATTGTTCTCCTAATAGGAAGGGAGTTCAAACAACAAAGAGGATGAGAGTTGCGCATTAGTGGCTAGCAAACATAGACGGTTGAGAGGAATTGAAAAATAATTGAGACGGAAAATCAGAGTCAAAGGATGATAGAAAATAAATTTGATAGTTTTTCTAATAAGATAAGAAATTGGGCATACAAGGTGAGCACTAGGCATCAATGGGTGGCAAATGTCAAAAGTTGGCAAACATCAAATGATTTTTGATATGAAGTGCAAAATGTAGGGCAATAAAGGGTGATCATATTTGCTGATCTCCTAATAAAAATGGATGATGAAGGACATCTGACTTGATCATTTTCTTGATATGAGAGGAGATTATTTGAGGAAGTCCAAATCTACAAAGGAAACAATAAAGGCTAAAGAAAAGTGTAATATTTATTTTACTTTTCAAAGATATTATTAAGCTACTAAAATGCTTGCCTCAAAAATATTTTTATTTTCAAGTTTACTATAAGTTCTCAATTTTAGTTTATTAGCTTGTATGCTTGTAAGTTGTAAAATTGGGTATCATCCATCATAGGGGTGTCAATTTCGGGTCACGGGTCAGGTTCGGGTATAATGTGAAATTGACCCGGCATTATTTAGGTCAACTCAAACTCGACCTATTTTGACAAACAGGTCAAGTTTTCGGACCTGAACCTGACCCGCTTTGGGTCAGGGTCAACCCAACATGACCCGAGACAGACCAAAAATTGCTAGTTTTCGGTTCAAAAAATGGGTCAATATCCGATTTTTGGTCAAAAGTGGGTTAATCTTGGGTTTTCCGATCAAAAATGGATTTTCGAGTCAATTTCAGGTTGTTGGGTCAACTCAAACCCCACCGGTTTTTGAATTGGGTCGATTTGCTAAACTCGAATCCGACCCGTTTCAGGCCTGGGTTGACCCTAACCTAGAATTTTAGGGTCGATTTTTCGGGTCATGTCAAATATTAATACCCCTAATCCTCTGAATCACTTGGATCCAACAAAAAGGATTTACATGCATAACCCTTAATTAGTATCTTATTTACATATCTATCATCTAACATTTTATATTTACTCATATACACTCACATGTTTAAATAACTTAAAAAATAACACAAGGGGTGAAGCCGGTGTTGAAGAGTTTGGGATCCAAGTTTAAAGAGAGTGATATGTGATTAAATTGGAAGTTTTGGATATTAAAATTTTAAAAATATGATAGAATTAAAGGTGATATCAATAATTTTTTTATGTATTTATATATCTATCATCATATTTATACTTATTTACATATCATTCAAATATCTAAATCACAATAAAAGCATCACAAATATTATCTTATTTAAAGTGAAAGATATATATCATGTATATGTTGGACATTTAAATATATATGAGTTTTATTATATGTATTTATATGCCCATAGAATAAAATAGGGGAATTGGCATAACTAACACTCAAATATATATCATTTACATACCTAACACTCAAACTTCACTATTTACGCAATATGATATTCCATTAAGTTATGTTAATAGCATTGCAAACACCTCATCATAATCCTCATTGAACTTTCCCGACCACCAAGGAGAGGAGGAAGTTGCCATGAAATCTAGCTGGGCCAGACAACATTGGGGTCGACCACATGCGTATGACAAAGAAACAAACTCACTAGATGGGACTAGCCACAAGTAAAAGATGAAGCAACGGTAGGGTTATGTTCATGAACAAAGAGGCCAACGTTTAATGTAGATGATAGGACTGACAAGTCATAATAAAGGGGGTTGGTGGAGCGGAGGATATTACGATGAGTGATTTGCTTCATCGGTGATGTATGACAGAGGACAAAGAGATTGAATATGCGTGCGGGATGATGGGACGAGCAACATGCAAGGAAAGGGTTTTATTTATACCCTTAACAATAATGAGGTACTATTGTATATATACCATTGTGATTTTAGTACAATAATGAGGTACTATTGTGATATATATACCCTTAATCATTATTGTACTAAAATCACCCCCTCCCCCCTAAAAAACAAAAAAACCAGCAGGCTCACAACTAATTTGATAAAAGATAATTCATAGGACTACCGACCAAACGTTTCCGGTTTTGGATAAGAAGGAAAGCTCATAGGTATGGACGCAGGGCAAATTGCCCTTCCCATCATCGGCATAGCAGCCGCCGCCGCTGTTACCTTTTACGCCGTAAGCTTTGCCGAGCTGCGTGAGGTACTATTCTCTTCCTAAACCCACACCGATTTCTCATAAGTTCAATTTTTTTCTTTACTTGCATTGACTTGGACGCTTCTTCTCATCAACAGAAATCTTTCAAAGAGTTGGAGGAGTCGGATTCCGAAGCTAATGGTGGCGGTTTCATATCTTCAGCAAGTTCTAGAGAGGTAAGGGCGAGGAGGAAAGCTGAGAAAGAAGCTAAGAGAAGAAGTTAGTCAAGTTAATTATTTTTCTGTTTCTTTCTTTTTATTTCCTGCTGCATTTCTGAAGGGCAAACTGTATAATAGAGCTTCCAGATATTGTTCGAAACTTGATCTTCAAGTTGGGATGAATATTGCGCCATAGATTGAACTAATGTCTACTAATATGAACTCGATGAGAAGAGTTGATTGTAAATATGGTTCCCCCAATGTTCCTGAAAGAGTTTATGTGCCAAAAATATTTATAGTATGTCCACCTAAATCACCAATGATATGATGCTTAGTTCGAAGCTTAACAGTGGTTAAATTAAGATTTATGAAGACAATTGGGGATAGAATAATCACTGAGCTACGTTTATCAACTAAAATATTTGTAGTGCTGAAAATAGATATCCCAATTCTAATTGAGTTAGCTAGAAAATCTGATGTGGTAACGGTAGTCCACAACTCCACACACAGAAGGAAACAGAACAATGGCGAAGCTAAACCAAAGAGATACTATAGAACTATATTAATTAAAAGCGGTTTTGCTAAGATGAAAACAACTGCCCTTTCCAATTCTCCTTCTCTTCTATTAAAAGAGGTAAAAGCTGAAAGTAAAAGTGAAGAATAAAATGAAATAATAGAAAGTTAGGTAATAGTATAAGTAGTAAGATGTTCCTCTTAAGTGTGCCAAGCATCAGTTCCCCTCGGTTGCAAGAGGTTCTGTTATTATCTGAATGTTCGTCAGTGTCAGCTCATCAGGAGGATGATAAGTATATATATCAATGATGTTGGAGATAGATGATGAGTTGTTTATGTGGGATGGAAGATCAACCTCATAAACATTATTATTGATGCATTGAAGAATGGGAGCAGATCCAATCTTATGTGGGCTTAACTTGGAATAAGTGCTGACGGGAAACCTTTCTTTGTGTAAGCGAACCATGACTAAATCGCCAGGATTAAAAACTTTGTTTATATTTTTCATTAGATTATGGTATGTACCTCTTCAAGAATAGATTTGTAGTTGGCAGCCAATGCTTCAACTGTGCTATGACGGCACTTGGGAATCACAGCAACATCGAACAAATGATTAGGCATCTTCGTGTATACAATACTAAAAGGGTTGCAACCTGTAGAGCGGTTTGTCATAGAATTGTATGCAAATTATATTTGTACTAACACATAATCCC